GCCCGGCTCACACACAGGAAGGTGTTCACACACACACACACACACACACACACACACACATCCTGACGCTGACTCATCACCCAGAATCAGCGCCGAACGGCGCCGGAGAGCAACCAGACGCACAACCGGGCAGAGACACTAAAGAGTAATCCTTCGTCTCGGGCCAGTAAAACCATAACAAGAGGCAGAAGGTCGAGAGGATGTGGGGCTTTAACTCTATTACGGCGGCTCACACTAAAATAGAATATAATACACTGCACGGCGGTTTACTGCCATGACACCACCTGAAAGGTTAAAGGTCAACAGGGCAGTAGATCGTAGCAGTGGGTGGCAATAAAAATGTGCACAAACATCCTTTTTATGGGCTTGTTAAAACACTATGTGACAAAACTCCCTTCACCGATATACTTGTACTCCCTAAAGATCTGTAACAAACGTTTGCTTCCATATTACAGCAATAAATTCAACTAAAGAGATCAAATTTCTGCTGTTTATCGTCTACGAATATGGAAATTTAGACAGAAAAAACAAACAGACAGTAATCTGATAACTAAAATGTTGATGTCTTATTGACATTATGCCAGTTCTTTTTTTTTTATTTAATTGGATGAAAGCATATTTGAAATAAGTTTTCAAAAGTTTGAATGCTGATTATTGGTCCGAGACTTTTTCTGCTTTTGAATAATAAAAATATAATGCATCTGTTCCCAGTTTAATAAGCTGTGAATGCACACACACACACACACACACACACACACACACGACAGGAAGTTGGCTGAGGTGTCCTTATAGGACGGGAGACTTAACCATGGCAACCCATGTGATCACTGCGGATGACGTTACAGTCCCCCTGCAGGTGGCTCGGGGTTACCGTGGAGACGGACTGATGGCCACCGGTCCGGAGTATCGCACCACGCATGAGCGTGGGAAGAAATACTACAAAATATTAGCATTAATAGACTTTATGACGCACTATATGGCGTTGAACCGCTCAGCTTAAGCAAAGGTCTTATGCCCTGTAACCTGGAGCCCCATGGTGGGCTTCTGCCCTATGAGGTGATACAACCAGCCAGACTGCGTATAATTACGCAGTCTGGCTGATTGGCGTGTGGACGTTTCGTCCATTTTTTAGCCCTTTATTTGCCCTTTGTGTCCTACATGTAGCTGCTGCTTGTGAAGCAGCGATGCTCACTGTCGCCCAGCGGAGTCCCCCACGTTTCATCTGACCGAGCGTTAGTAAGTGACCATAAAAACACCCGCGAGGACCTCCGGCCTCCGCCTGAAGCGGCGATGAACCGCGGGGCTCGTGAAGCCTACGGGCAAGAAAAGCAAGCCAGGCTGCCTGTGGGTTGTCGGTTCAAAACCTCGGGGAGGGCAAAAGAAGCAAAAGTGAAAGCCTTCTTCATCAAAATCTGATTAAATAGGAACCAACGGAAGCTCAAATGTAGAGCAAGTCCGTTGATATGAGGCCCCATAGAGGAACAATAACTGGCTGCTTCAAAAAGAACGGAAGACAATGTCATCTCAGTTCATCCCAATGGATGAAAGGATCTGAACGTTGAGAAGAAGACCATCGACCGTTAAGAGGAAGGAGGAAACATCTCAGGTGAACATCGGCCTTTCATCGATACCCAACACAAACGGTGCGGCTGGATTAATTGCATATTTATCATATAATTGATCGATACCGTACCCATTACCTGGAGGGGGGATTCTTGAGTTTCATCAGATTTTAATGAAGGACACGTGTTTTATTATCCGTTTCATCGAGAAATGTTCTCTCGTTGGAGAACTTTAAACGACAGAACGACGCTTTGCTTGATTCTAAAACACAATTCCTCCGTTGTACCTGTCAAACACACACGGTTTACAGGATCAGTCATAAGTATTCATCGAGTTTCAAACGCAGATTATTATTATTATTAGTATTAAACGTGTGTGTGGTAAACAGCAGTGAGGAAGAGGAGGAGAGAGGAAGGATTCTCGGGCCGCAGTACATTTATACTGCATTTAACTCCTGGGTCATCGGCGAGTCACATTCAGGAGGACAGTCTATTGCCCCGGGGGGGGGGGACGTGGGGCCTTGAGGGCCCCTCTTCTATTCCCGCTCCAAATACAACACACGCACACACTAATAATATATAGTTGGTGCTTTTTAATGATTGAGTTGATAATAATAATTAAACTATTCATGGCGGCTCCTGTTGCTGAGGCGCCGACGTGGACTTCCTGAAGTCGAGCAGCCGGATCGAGAGGCGCCGCAGAAGTTCACCGCTGGAGGCGGAGCGACAAGACGGCTGCCAGGCGGAATAAAAAGAACCGTTCATTAAGCGAGGGAGGGGGGGGCAATCTCCCCTTTGAAGATCACCAGGCTGAATGCAAGAAAAAGCAAAGGCTGCAATTACACTCACTGTGTGTGTGTGTGTGTGTGTGTCGGAGAGAGGACACACTGATGCTCGATGGGGTTCCTGCAGGTGGGGGATTAAAGTTGTGTGTGTGTGTGTGAGCGCGCGTTCTACTGCACACATCTCACCCCCCACGTCACACATGGGACGAGCTGCATTTGTCTTTGGTCACCATGAGGACAGAGGACGCACACATGCACACACAGGGTCAGAGGTCACGGGGAGAGGAGCGATGGAGCCGCACGACGTCCATTTAGCGTCAGACAGACCCTGAAGCAGGTTCGGGTATTAGAACTGCGTGTGCACGTTGTGTGCACGTCACGACGATCAAGTCATTACCTTCAGTTTATGTGCAGCTTCAACGTTGAGTGTTTTAAAACCAGATAAACATTTGTAACTCGAACGTGTGCTCACACAATATTCAATACAAGCCTTCTGTTCTGCACCCACTCACACTTCTGCAGAGCCTCTTTGTGTGCTTCACACACACACACACACACACACGCACACGACACAACCAGCCCTCGATGCAGAGAGCGGGGCGTCGACAGCCTCCGTTTCTTTTGTATTTGTAAAAGCCCATTTAGTTTAATAAATAAAATCACTGTTATATAAGAGAAACACTCACAAAGCGTCCGGAGGTAAACAAAAAAACGACGTCATGCGGATCTGTGCACCAACATCTAGATTACTCATTAAACCCCCCGCCCCCCCTGCACCCCTCCTACCTTCATGACGATGAAGAGGACCAGGGTGACGAAGACGTTGACCTGCGGGTGCGTCCAGGCCTGCGAGTGTCCGATGTAGTCGAAGTCCTCGGCGATGCCCTGCTTGGCCCACGTCCGGTTGTCCAGCAGAGTGACCAGAGACTCCTTCTGGGTCAACTGGGGGGGGGGGGGCACATATATTGGTTATAAAACCTCCGTACTTTAATTCCTTTCTTCTCGAATAGATTCAATGGTGAACTTTTCATGTCTTTGTATTTTTAACATCTGTCAGTTGAATCCGTCGTGACGATCGATCAAAACCCACAAAGGAACGTTGACAGAACGTCACATGACTCACGGCCTGCTGTCAATCAAAAGTCCTCCACAAGTCCTGCATGCTCAGTGAAGAACATGTCCTCCCCTCTGGGCTGGAAGCTTCTATACAACTTCTCTGTTGCCCGTTGACGTGCATTCACTCCCCCCAACTCCTTTAGATTTGAACAAAAACCTCACTGACTGAAGCGTAAAATGTGACGTACGGGTATGGAAATAAAAATTCTTCAGGAAGAAGACGGGCTGAGAAGGTCCTGAAAGATGTCGCTTGAGATGAAAGATAGCAGAGGGAGGGGGGGGCAGCTGTCGCCCGTTGTCACGGCGATGTCGGCCAAGGGCTCCAAGAGCCAGACGCAGAGATTTAAGACGCGTAATTGAGTGTTTTAAGAGGAGAGGGCAGAAGCCTGACTCACCCACTCATCACCAACGCTGTGTGTGTGTGTGTGTGTGTGTGTGTGTGTGTGAAGCTGCACAGAATGTGCCTTTCTTTTACATTCGGATAATTTGACTGATGAAGGGGGTGAAATTGGGAACATATCAGATAAATCCAGATGTCCTTTCGGGTTCTTCCACGTGGCAGCGGAGCGCGTTTTAAGGGAACGAGGCGGCGTGCAGAACCTACCTTGCCTGCCATGAACTGTCCGAAGCCGGGTGGGAACGTTAGTGTGGAAATCAGCAGCGTGACGAGCGCCGGGTACAGCAGACGCCTGAGGGAGAGGAAGACAACGGTATCCAACAATTTAGCATAAAAAGAGTACCGCTATGGCACACAAGTTATTGTAAGGAAGTAATAAAGTACCTCAAAGCTAAATTATACTTAAAGTAGATGTATTATTCACCCAGTTTTACCTTGGAAGAATCCAGAAATGAAAAAGGTCTTAATAAATTGAACTAAAACTACGAAACATCCGTTTCCGGACCTCCACAAGGCAGGAGATTCAGCTGCAGAGACACCGACTGCCAATATTCTATTTGATGTTGGTGGGAAAACATCGGTATTTGGCCACGTTTCTCACCAGAAACTACATTTTAACAAGATGGCATATGAATGCATTATGATCGGCCCAATACGCTGCTTTATTAAGTAGAGGCTGAAACTTGGATATAGCGGATTGGCTTTCGACAGACGAGCAGAAGATCTGATAAAGACAGCTTATTTATTGCCAAAATCTTACTATTTAAGCAGTGCAAGGCAAGTTTTTGGAGGCATGTAGATGTTGAACAGAAGAGGTCCCAGAATGTTTCCCTGGGGAACGCCGCATGACATTTCAGTCGCTCCCATGCGTGACCAACTACACTCAAGTATCCGTGGTCCTTTGAGTGGGATTCAAACCGGTTTAGTGCCACATAGTCAAACCCGTTCTGCATTCCGCAGGAACAGTTGATGCTTAACCGTTTTTAATAGTCAAATATATTTGTACAGTGGTGAACACACAACAAAAGAGACTTGGATCGAGATTATTTTTTACATTTTTAAGCCGCGTTTTACCTTAATTCATCAATACTTGGCTTTTAAGATTCTCTGTTCGCCGCCGAGCCACGAGGGAAACATTCAAGGTAACAAAGCGGTGAGTCTTTTACGTACTGATGGAGAGGTTTTCTTCCGTAAGTACAGTAATCAACCGTACAGCTGGCTGGACCTACTTTTTCATGAGGAATCTGTTGATGGCCTTCTGTTTCCTGATGAACTGGACAATCAGCCGGTTCAGGTAGACAAACAAAGCCCCCCCGAAACCACTGGCAATGCTGCAGAGGTAGAGAACACACACACAATGTCAATAATAATAATAAAGGAGTCCAGGCTTAAACAAACCACGCCCCCCCCCCTCATCCCCGGTACTAAACGAGCTGAAGGTGTTGAGTCTCAACGTAGACGAGTAAAAGGAGAAAGTCTATGAAACGTGTGAGAGGGACGGGAAGGAAGGACGTGACGGTGAAGGAGATGAGGAACGAACAGAAAGGGGGAGGAAGAGCTGTTGGTGGGAGTCCTCTTCATCTCGGGGAGGAAAGAACAGACTCCGACAACCTAAGGCGGAGAATTGTATCTTCCTGCATTATTAATTCCCTTTGAATAAATTATGTACATGATGATGAGTCGTTCGAAGGATGGATCCTCGTTTGAGTTTCTAGACCAGAACGAGGATCAGGATTCTGGGTCTCGTTAGGCGGGGTCACGGTGGGTGATGGCAGGTGAAGCACATTAGCACATTAGCATCAGGTGTAAACAGGAAGTAGAAGAAAGCGCGTCCGTCGTTTGCAGCACGAAGCACAGAGCAAACTCTCGGTGTCCCAGTTTGCTGAGACACTGACCGACTTTCCGCGCTTGACAGCTATTGGCAGGACAAGATGGAATCCACACACACACACACACACACACACACACACACACACCAAGTGAAATCAAAAGCTCACCCGATGACGGCGAAGGCGGGAAGCTCCTGGAGGTCAAAGGGGAAGTCGAGCCGGAACCGTGTTTTAAAAAGGGCCGTGATGGTCTCTGGGGAAGGACGACAAAGGGTGAGGAAGGAGAACATGCTGCAGTCAGAGCCCCCCACAACCCCCCATCTCACTGTCAGGCATGAAAACGGGTCAAGGGTGGAAAACCCCCTCTAGGGGTTTTCAACTGGTTTTGTCCCAGTGATCATTTTTTGCGTACCGACGAGGGGGGGATTGACAACAACCAATAGGGGACAAGTCATTAAATACTCGTCATGCATTATATTGCATTGCATATCATGCTAAATTAATTTTAGCGAAATGTTTGCGTAGTTTAGAGTGACAAATCGTACCAGCGCACTTTGAACAGGTTGGCAGGTCTGCTTATTGATAGAACGGTGGAGCACTTCACCTTCTGCCTCGTCGGCCCCCTCATCTCAACATCTACCTCCTCAAGAACGCTAGCGTTAGCTAACGGAGCTTTAGCTAGCTGGCCAACGTCGCGTTAAATGACTCAACTCATCAAGCTGTAGCTAACGTTAGCTAAGTCTATGCCAACAAAGCTCCTGGCTAACTTAACTTAGATATACCAGAAAATATTAAAATGATTGAAACCATCAGTTCACTGAATATGAATACCCCCCCCCCCAAAAAAACTCATCGAATCTACACGATTCACGTAGGTCACCTATTGTGGTTTCAAAACTGCGAATTTCGCCGAAAGGTGAGGGATTTTCATGCCTGCACTGTACAACCGGACACACCCAAGAGCTGGACGTGTCGTCGTCATGACGACACTCTTTTGGTTCACGGCCCGACACTTGGAAGCGCAAGAGTTCGGCGTTGTGTGCAGGCCGCCATCTTGGCTTTTTTGCCATCAGTGAACAGGAAGTGAGCGTATACATGTATCCGGACTGAGCATAGAAACCTGTCAATCAGCGTGTAGCCCCGCCCCAGCTTTATGATCCGTTGTTTTCTTCTTTAAAAAGACGTTTGAGTCACAGCCGTGGAAGTGAAACGAGTCTCGGAGGCGTCACAGACGTCTCTATAGTTCTTTAGAGCTAGAAAACCGTGTTTTGGGCCGTACCTTCGTCCCTGTTCCACACGGCCAGAACTCTGAAGATGAAGGCACTGAAGGTAGCAGCAAAGAAACCTCTCCAGTAGTTCCTCACCGCGAAAAACGTGGACGTTACTTCAATACTGAACAACACTCCTGCAACACACACACACACACACACACATTAGACCGCCACACACTAAACACCATGAAGAACACACACAACATCGGTCCACTGCACTAATAACACACGTAGTGGTGTGAAATACGCAAATATTTGAAAAAAACGTTTACAACGGTGGATTTAAAAACCTGAAATAATTATCGTGGCAATGAAACGTATTCATGACGCTCGCTGTAACCGACCGCACGAGGTTCGCTCACCTCCGATGGGGGCGGCGAAGCAGCAGCCCACGCCCACGGCGCAGGCCGCCGCCAGCATCTCGATGTTCCTCGACTCGTTCTGAGGACGGGAGAGTTCACGCGAGTTACATTTCCTCGTTTCACCCCGTTGGGCTCCTCACACATGGCGAATCATACGAGGTGGCATGTTACGCTGGTATCGTATCTCCTAGTGTGTTATTCATATGGGGAATGTGTATTTTCTGTTCTGGGGTAATGTGTGTGTGCAACCTGCTGCTGTAACACAATTAATAAAGCTCACACTGTCACCGTTACTGAAAGTTAAATATCATAAAACGACTGTAATGACGAACTCTTGACGTTGCCGTTCAGAAAAAAAGCACAACCACAAAGCTGATGGCGCGAAATCGAGGATAAAATACAAAAAAAGACAAGCGGTGGATGAAGAGGTTTCATGCTTCCACCTCAAACCAAGAGCCCCCCCCTCCCCTCTCCTCCCCCCTCAGTCCACCAGGTCCCCCGTTGATGGAACAGCAGTGAGAAGTAGGAAAGCACTGAAAGTTCTATGTTTGGGGGACGGGACAACGGCCCGATCTTACTCACCTTCTTTCCCACGAGATGTCTTTCAAGCAGCGTGGCAGTGGTAGAGAGAGGTTAGTGTGTGTGTGTGTGTGTGTGTCTGTGTGTGTGCGAGGGAGCAGGATAAGACACACACACTAATAATAATAATAATAATAATAACTTACACTGCAAAACAGAGAGAAAATAAAAATAAATAAAAGGGGGAAGAGGTTTTCAGCTACTGAGTTGTAACCACTTATGTGTCACTCAATAAAATATCTAATATATAAAAAAAGAGGATTTAATATTGAAAAGCTTGAATAAATACTTTATATTTATTCTCTTCCTGTCAAAGTTTGTACGATTTTGACAAAATCCCAAAAGGTGAAATGTGTCCAGACACCAAAATAAAAGTCGAGCTCTGGTTCGGTTTTTTCTTTTTTTTTTTGCAGCATGAAACATGAAGAGATTCAGCCAGAGGGGATGATGGGACATCGACCGCCGGGCATGCTGGGAACTGAGCGGTTGGGTTACCTTGATACCGGCGAGACTGGGCTCCTTCAGGAAGCGAGGGAGTGAGAGACCAAGTTAGGAGACCACCGAACAAGCGCTTTCCTCTACTGACGAGTTTACTTCTGATCCAGAGACTTTCTCAAAACTAAGTTCAGCAAACGACTGAGAGCCCAAGGGTAGCGTTAGCTTAGCATAACTTAGCTAAAGCGCTAGCTTAGCATAACCTCAGACCGAGGGACACGCTCACACACTTGCATTACAATGCACCACTGTGGAGGTGATGACGACAGGAGATTAAAAGGGGGCCGACGGGGGGACGGGACGCGTCGTAAACCAACGTCCGTCACCACTCGAGTGCAGTGGACATCTGGACGGGAGACGTCTGTGGACGCTGCCTCATGAGCCTTAACGTACGCGTTGTGTGTGTTTGTACAGTATGTTGTATGTGTGTTAATAAGCGCCTCGTGCTTGTATCAAACCTTTAGCCTATTGTTTCATTCTTAATGTGTGTGTAAGAGGTCTCATCTTTTCCTCTCTGAAGATATTAAGTGCAGAGAATGTTCATATATTAAAGAATCCATAAAATTGGTTGAGCTAGTTGTTGACGTCATAAGAGATGAATTCATTATAATAATAATGGATTAATGGACGTAAAGAAGAAGAAACCTCGAGCCTCGTGTGAGGCGGTGAAGCTCGTTTCTTGATCTCTCTGCTCTGAAATGAAGACGAACAGAGTGAAGAAGTGAAGAAGTGCAGACGCGTCATAATTCATTCTCTCTGTTCTTCTTTCTCCTGCCGTCATCATCTTCCCCCCCTCTTTGCACCTCGCTCCTCTTCATCCTGACCCAGGAATTGGTGAAGACAACAACTCTCTACTTGCGTCCCCAAAAAAGTTTTAGAAGATTTTGAACTATCACCGTTTTCCAATGAAGGGAAAGAGGGACGCAAACCAGGACTTTAAAAGGTGCCATTGTGCTTTCTTTAATGGTATATTTCCTTAGTCCTCCTTAATGACAGGTGTCCTTTATTTAAATGGGATCCTTGAGCTTGAAGCTGTGAGAGCTTCGTGAGTCTAAAGCCAAGAAGAAGAAGAAGAAGAAAAAAAAGAAGACGACGACTCACCTCGTAAATCCCTCCGAACAGAGACATGAACTTGCTGAGCAGAGCGGCGCACAGACTGGCGATGTGCACGAACGGACCCTGACGGGACGAGAGGGAACAAGTCAGCGCTCGGCCCTTCGCTTTACTACGTGTGCACGTGACCCACGACCCCAAAGGCCACAGTGAGCGTTAGCATGTGTGTGTGTGTGTGTGTGTGTGTGTGTGAGAAGCATATTTTCCTCTCAAACGTCTTCAGGCTAAACAGTCTTTTGGGAGAAGCCACATTCACCTGGAAAAAGACGTAAACAACATCTGCACAGGCTGGAGCTCCCCCTCCCTTTGGGTTTAGACCAGGACTAGAACTCCTGAACCTGGAGCATGTGGCGCTCGCCACTTTGTAATTCACGCCGCGCAGATGTGAGGGAACTGGAACGAGGGGGGGAGGGGGCGATGGGGGGGGTTCAGCTACTGTAGAACGTCGTGCTGTAAGTAAGATCTAGTTTGTTTATGAAGCACAAGCGAAGTTCTTCACTGCAAAAACCACAGTCCGCCCTGGATGTGCAGATTGTGTGTGTGTGTGTGTGTGTGGAGGAGTTATAGAGGCTCTATAGCAGGCGTACGCACACACACACACACACACACACACACACAGAAGCATTCATTTATGAGTCATTTCAGTTCAACAAACATCTCTTGTACAAGTCATAACTTGATCGATTATTTGACAGAGTTGTCAGCGTGTGTGTGTCTGTGTGTGTGTGTGTGTGTGTGCGTGTGCGTGTTACCTCTTTGCCCAGCGGCATGCCGCTGCCCAGAGCGCAGGTGAGGCCGATGACCTTGGCCACGAAGGTTTTGAAGGTCAGGTATTCCTTCAGCACGACTCCTCTCAGGATGGTCTTCATCTCTGGAATGCCGGACCCTGCAGAGGAGGTAACCGCTTTAGCTTTAGCTTAGCTTAGCACAGCTAGCCTGCTTCTGCACAATCTATCAACTGCCAAGAAAAGAAGAACGGGATCATTTTGTGTGTTGCGTTCTCATTCCACTTGGCATTGAACATGTTTGTCCAACACGAGGTAAAACTCGTCTGCTTAGAACAAATAAAATAAGCTCATTTAAACTAGCGGATTAATTCAAATCAGGCTGAAGCAGCTTTATGGGGTAAAAACTCTCACACACTTTTCCATTACTTTACATTAATCAATGTAATTTGATCCTTTGGCCTTTTTCAGGCCTTCATGTGTCTTCTGTTCTCAGCTGGTTTGTTTTTGTTTATTGTCCCGGCTCTCAAATCAGTTTTTTTTTTTTACTAATTGTACTTTTAAGAACGCGTTTTATTTGCATTGATGTTTTATCTGAAGCCCTTTTGCTGAAGCGTCTCTCATAAATAATTCTTTAATGCGCTGCCGTGTGTCAGGATGAAAAAAAAAGACTTTATTTCCTCAGAAAATGCATTGACCATGATCATTTGTAATTCTCCAAAGGGCCGTTTGTATTTTAATGCCCCCTGGGGTCCTTTTGTGTGTCTTTACACTGAAATGCAGGAGAGAACTTTTGAAGAAACACGGATGATTTACTTTATCAGTAGCATTTAAAGGTTTTTCAGGGCCTGTCTGGTGTTCACGTGTGTGTGTGTGTGTGTGTTGTCGTACCGACAGCTTGGGGGGCGAGGATCTGAGTGAAGCCGGCAGAGAAGGTGATGAGGACCACGGGGTACGTGACCCAGGCCAGATACTGCAGGAACACGTTACTGTCCAGACCGCCGTACATCCACTTCTGTGCTGTGGACACACACACACACACACACACATTAACGTACAACAAGGGGACCCGTCGGATGATTCAGTTTGAAGACACAATGTGTGTAGTTGTGTGTGTGTGTGTCAGGACAGGCGGTTCCTCATGTTCTGTACACAATTAAAAGAACTGTACACTATAACTGGAACTGACAGGACGAGGTTGGATCCTCCTTGAGAGCACAAAACGCACAAAAACACACACACAGACACACACAGAACCTGAGGAATCCATTTGAATTAGAGCTGGTCCCTCAGGGCTCCAGATCGACTTCCTTCAGCGGCTCTTAGGACGTCTAGCTTCCCCCCTACCTGTCCGATGCCATACGACGCCTTCGATCCCTCCTTTGATCCACCGACTCCTTTCAGTCTCCCCTCCCCTTCCAATCGTCCCGGCTAGCTTCCTCCTAAAAAGCCCCCCTCCCTGCATCCCCCCCCTTTAAGAACCTCATCCCGTCGCCGTGGGCAACGCATTGAGAACTTCTGATTTTCCGATGAACGTCCCGAGTGCTCGATGTGATCTCTCTCTACTCTGCCTTCCTCCTCCTCATGCTCCAAACCATCGGTCCAAGTTCCTGCCCCCCCCCCTCACCTTGTAGACAGATGGCGATGCAGAAGTCCACCACCCAGCTGACCAGGGCCATGAGGAGTCCCAGCAGGATGAGGAAGATCCAGTCCTCCCCGACCCGCGAGATCAGGAACTTCTGACAGCGCACCGTGCAGACTGCAAGGAGACGACGACACGTTAGACTCCGAGCGCACAAAAGCACCACATCACCAAGGGGGGGGGGGTGGCAGGGGGGGGAGGCAAGTTAGTTGTTGTTATTTAAAACCGAGTCCTCGGCTTCGGTTACGCGTCTTATTGTTGCCTGCAGACGAAGTAAAGACACAAGTTGTGAACGACTCTAAAGACATTTTCGGACACATTGAAGGACGACAAAGAATAAATTAACGGTTCGCTGCTGTTCAAATGAAGCCAAAACAAGGTCAGACACACCGACGTATGTGGCTCAATGCTGTCGCTGCACAGACCATCCGAGAGGAGGAGCTTTGTTGTGTGTGTGTGTGTGTGTGTGTGTGTCTCATCCCACCTACAGGCCGTCTGTGTTCTTGGACACCTTCTGTCACCCAGACACTCAATGTAATGAGTGTGTGTTTAGATGCATGTGTGCACACAGATTACTTTTTTATTGTGCTTTTGCATATATGTGTGTGTGTGTGTCTTTGTGGA